ATATCTGCAGGCCTTGCAGGTAAGATAATGTGTGCATTTATGCATGTATGAGCTTCAGTGTATGAAAGTATTTGCTGTCAGGATACTGACAGGGATCCAATACGCAGAGTGCGGACAGAAGGAGGTACTATACCGGACCTTAGAATGGCCGGACTAACGTAGGGACAAAGCAAGAATAGTCAAAAGGTAAGCCGAGGTCGAGGGAGCCGGAGGACAGGTAAGCGAGATACAAGCCGAGTCAAAGGAGAGGAGAGGACAACAGGACAAAAGACAAGCAAGGGTCAAAACCAGAAACACAAGATAAAGAACGCGCTGAGTGACTAGCAAGCTAGAACCACGACAGGGCAATGAGCAGTAGTAAAGGTTTCCTTTAAATACCCTGTACCTAAATAGAGACCACGCCCCCAAAAGGTCCGGAATAGCGGTTCCGGGCACTTTATGCAAATGCCGACGTCATGACGTCGACGCTAGCCGTCACGTCATAAAAGGGGGAGGAGCTAGCGCGGCCGGCGCGAAAACGGCCGAAATATGCCGAAATGCTAGGGGAAGGGAGCCCCTAAGCAGAGAGGATGTCCACCCTGGATACATCACCAACAGGTACCCTGACAGTACCCCCCCTTCTAGAAACGCCCACCGGGCGGATGGGACCTGGCTTAGAAGGAAAACGAACGTGGAAGGCCCGTAGAAGACGAGGAGCATGCACGTCTACACCAGGAACCCAAGACCTCTCTTCTGGACCATAACCTTTCCAGTCTATGAGGTATTGCAGCTTCCCCCTAGAAATACGAGAATCAAGGATGGACTTGATGACATATTCCTCCTGACCATCCACACGGACCGAGGATGGAGGAGCAGAGCGGGAGGAAAATCTGTTACAAACAAGAGGTTTCAATAAAGACACATGAAAAGAGTTAGGGATGCGTAGAGTAGGAGGCAGATCCAGCAAATAAGAAACCGGGTTGTTCCTCCTCAGCACCCTGTAAGGACCAATGTAACGAGGAGCAAACTTCAAGGAAGGAACTTTCAGGCGAATGTGTCTGGTACACAACCAGACCCTATCACCCGGAGAAAAAATAGGAGCAGGCCGTCTACGCCTATCAGCATGTGACTTAAACACCGCGGAACTACGTTCAAGAATTTGTTGAGTCTGATCCCACAACTTTCTCAGGTTGGCTATATGAATATCAACCGACGGTATACCCTGGGAAGGAGACACCGACGGAAGAACAGTAGGGTTAAAGCCATAGTTCAAGAAGAAGGGGCTATTACGAGTGGAACCACAAACAAGGTTGTTGTGAGCAAACTCCGCCCAAGGAATCAGACCGACCCAGTCATCCTGGTGTTCAGAAACAAAACAACGTAGATATTGCTCAATTTTTTGGTTAGTGCGTTCAGCTGCTCCGTTAGATTGAGGATGATAGGCCGAAGAAAAATTCAGTTTGATGCCCAACTGGGAACAGAAGGATCTCCAAAAACGGGAAATAAATTGGGAACCCCTGTCTGACACAATCTCATTGGGAATACCATGTAAACGGAAAATTTCTCTAGCAAAAATCACGGCCAGTTCAGGAGAGGACGAAAGTTTAGGCAAGGGAATGAAATGAGCCATTTTAGTAAACCTGTCAAGGACCGTGAGAATAACAAAACAACGTAGATATTGCTCAATTTTTTGGTTAGTGCGTTCGGCTGCTCCGTTAGATTGAGGATGATAGGCCGAAGAAAAATTCAGTTTGATGCCCAACTGGGAACAGAAGGATCTCCAAAAACGGGAAATAAATTGGGAACCCCTGTCTGACACAATCTCATTGGGAATACCATATAAACGGAAAATTTCTCTAGCAAATATCACGGCCAGTTCAGGAGAGGACGGAAGTTTAGGCAAGGGAATGAAATGAGCCATTTTAGTAAACCTGTCAAGGACCGTGAGAATAACCGTATGCCTACTGGAAGCTGGTAGATCAACAATAAAATCCATAGCCAAACAAGCCCAAGGTTTGTTGGGAACGACTAAGGGCTGCAATAAGCCACAAGGGAGATCCCGTGGAAGTTTATTCCTGACACAAACATTGCAAGCCTTGACAAAGTCTTCCACATCCCTACGTAAACCGGGCCACCAGAAGTCTTTGGAGATCAGGCAGTAAGTTTTGTGGATGCCGGGGTGACCAGCGAACTTGCTATCGTGAAAACAGCGAATAATGTCCACTTGGAATTTGGGAGACACGAACAAGCGGCCCACAGGAGTACGTTCGGGACCAAGAGATTGTTCGTTCATAATATCAGCGAGCAATGGAGAGTGTATTTTGACATTGGTGTTGGCGATAATATTGACTTCAGGAATAATAGGGAACAAAGTGTCCTCTGTAGAGGTGATAGGTTCGTGCTGGCGTGACAAAGCGTCTGCCTTAGTGTTCTTAGAACCAGGCCTGTAAGTAAGCATATAATTAAAGTGTGTAAGGAACATAGACCAACGTGCCTGCCTGGCAGATAATCTTTTGGCCTCCCCCATATACGATAAATTTTTGTGGTCAGTTAAGATAGTAACTGGGAGGACAGTGCCCTCTAACAAATGTCTCCATTCCTTTAATGCCATAATGATAGCTAAAAGTTCTCTATCACCAATGTCATATCTCCTTTCAGTGTGTGATAGTTTCTTGGAAAAAAAAACCGCAAGGGTGCAGCGGCTTATCTAAACTTTGTCTTTGGGACAACACTGCGCCTATCCCTGTTTCAGACGCATCAACTTCAAGTAAAAAGGGTAGAGAGGTATCAGGATGAACTAATACAGGTGCTGAGGCAAAAGACTGTTTGAGCGTTTTGAAAGCAGATAAAGCCTCAGTAGACCAGGTTTTGGTATCGGCTCCTTGTTTGGTCATATTAGTGATAGGAGCGATAACAGAGGAGTACCCTTTAATAAAGCGTCTGTAATAATTAGAAAATCCAAGAAATCTTTGTATGGCTTTGAGTCCCTTAGGTAAAGGCCAATCTAAAATCGATTTTAGTTTGGTCGGGTCCATCATAAACCCGTCTTTGGAAATTACGTAACCTAAGAAAGTTACCTGAGACTGGTCAAAGCTACATTTTTTCAATTTACAATACAATCCATGTTGTAAAAGTTTCTGTAATACCTTTCTGACTTGTCTATGATGTGAATTAATGTCTCTAGAATGGATTAGTATATCATCCAAATATACAATTACACATTCATGTTGGAATTCTCTAAGAACCTCATTGATTAAGTCTTGGAAGAAGGCCGGGGCGTTACAAAGCCCAAACGGCATTACGGTATACTCATAATGCCCGTAACGGGTATTAAATGCTGTCATCCATTCATCTCCTTGTTTAATTCGCACCAAGTTATATGCTCCTCTCAAGTCAAGTTTGGTAAAAATACTCGAGCCCTTTAGTCTGTCAAAGAGTTCAGTAATCAAAGGAATAGGGTAAGCATTCCTGATAGTAATTTTGTTCAATCCCCGATAGTCTATACAAGGACGTAAGGTACCGTCTTTCTTTTCTACAAAAAAGAAACCCGCCCCTGCCGGAGAAGAAGACTTTCTAATAAATCCTTTGTCTAAATTCTCCTTGATGTATTCCTCTAAAACTAAGTTTTCCTTGGTGGATAGAGGGTATACCGTCCCCCTGGGAGGCATAGTACCAGGGAAAAGTTTAATAGAACAGTCATAAGACCGGTGGGGAGGTAAAGTATCCGCCTTACCCTTGTCAAATACAGATTTGAGGTCTAGATATTGTAATGGTATCTGAACGTCTGTGGATTGGGAAGTGTTAGTATAAGAGTTTACGGGGCAAACAGAAGTAACTCTCTGCAGACATTCTTTCCTACAACCCATACCCCAAGAAACGATTTCTCCACCCTCCCAGTCAATCTGAGGGTTGTGTCTCTTGAGCCAAGAATATCCTAGCACCACTGGGACTGCCGGGGAGGAAATTAACAGAAGGGAAATCAACTCCTCGTGGAAAATACCAACAGGAACGGGTTTGGTCTCATGGAATATTACTGGTTCAGATAAAGGTCTACCATCTATGGCCTCAACGGCCAAGGGTGTATCTCTCAATTGGACTGGGATACAATGCTTATTAGCGAAAGTTTGGTCTATAAAGCTTTCTGCTGCTCCAGAATCTAATAATGCCATCGTAGAAATAAACCCCTTTTCCCAAGCTTGAGAGACAGGAATCAGAAGCCTATGGTCTTTTTTATTATGCATAGAGGACAGTAATGAAACACCCAAGGCCCGTCCTCTAAGGGAACTTAGGTGCGAGCGTTTCCCGGACGATTAGGGCAATTAAGACGTAGGTGACCTCTCTGCCCGCAGTATAAACAAAGACCCTCCCTTCTTCTGTACTGTCTCTCAGCCTCAGATAAGCGAGTATTACCTATTTGCATAGGTTCTGGTGGAGTAAGGTTATAGGAGTCAGGGTTCTGAAATGAGGGAGCGAGTCTTACAGGAAGTCTAGTAACTCTTTCCCGAGTGTTCTGCCTCTGTCTCATGCGTTCATCTATTCTGGAAATGAAGGATACTAAATCCTCAAAATTTTCCGGAAGTTCTCTTGTGGCAATCTCATCTAGAATTTCATCAGACAACCCATTCAAGAATACATCCATAAAAGCTTGTTCGTTCCATTTCACTTCTGCTGCCAATGATCTAAACTCTAGAGCATATTCTACAAGGGTCCTATTCTGTTGTTTAAGGCGTAACAGGGATCTGGCCGCATTAATCTTCCTTCCTGAGGGGTCAAAGGTTCTTCTAAAAGCCGTGACAAAAGCAGTGTAGTTGTAGACTAAAGGATTGTCATTCTCCCAAAGGGGATTGGCCCATCTAAGTGCTTTATCTATTAGCAGGGTTATAATAAAGCCTACCTTAGCCCTGTCAGTGGGGTAAGCCCGGGGTTGTAGTTTGAAATGTATGCTTATCTGGTTTAAAAAACCACGACAAGCATCAGGCGAACCCCCATATCGTAATGGTGACGTGACATGGGAAGATGCGCCTACAGTGGCTACTTCCAAACCAGTACTTAGCGAGTGGCTAGCAGTGGAACGTATTTCTTCAGACTGAGTGCTGGAGCGTGTTAACAAAGTTTGTAATACTAAAGCCATTTGGTCCATTCTATGGTCCATGGCCTCAAATCTGGGGTCAGGAGGACTAGCACCTGCAGGATCCATTTGGCCCTGTCGTAATGTCAGGATACTGACAGGGATCCAATACGCAGAGTGCGGACAGAAGGAGGTACGTATACCGGACCTTAGAATGGCCGGACTAACGTAGGGACAAAGCAAGAATAGTCAAAAGGTAAGCCGAGGTCGAGGGAGCCGGAGGACAGGTAAGCGAGATACAAGCCGAGTCAAAGGAGAGGAGAGGACAACAGGACAAAAGACAAGCAAGGGTCAAAACCAGAAACACAAGATAAAGAACGCGCTGAGTGACTAGCAAGCTAGAACCACGACAGGGCAATGAGCAGTAGTAAAGGTTTCCTTTAAATACCCTGTTACCTAAATAGGGACCACGCCCCCAAAAGGTCCGGAATAGCGGTTCCCAGCACTTCATGTAAATGCCGACGTCATGACGTCGACGCTAGCCGTCGCGTCATAAAAGGGGGAGGAGCTAGCGCGGCCGGCGCGAAAACGGACGGAATATGCCGAAATGCTAGGGGCAGATAGCCCCTAAACAGAGAGGATTTCTTCCCTGGATTCAGCACCAACAGGTACCCTGACATTTGCATTTGTTCATGTATGCATCTGTAAGGGGCATTGTATGTTAAAATCTCAGCGGAAAGGGGGGTTTGAGCCAGTGGCCGCATGAGACGGTGGCACCATTTCTTCTCTTTGGCCCACCGACAGTTTTGGAGGCTTTGCTGACGCTCTACATCACAACCACTGAGTCTGTTAGGAGGATGAGATTATTTCTGTCTTTTGTTCTCTATATCTTAACTTTTTCATTGCAAAATCTCAGAACATGTGTATTTATATATTAAAGGACCACTCTAGGCACCCAGACCACTTCAGCTTAATGAAGTGGTCTGGGTGCCAGGTCCAGCTAGGCTTAACCCATTCTTTTATAAACATAGCAGTTTCAGAGAAACTGCTATGTTTATGAATGGGTTAAGCCTTCCCCTATTTCCTCTAGCGGCAGTCTCATTGACAGGCTAGAGGCGCTTGCGTGCTTCTCACTGTGAAAATCACAGTGAGAGCACGCAAGCGTCCATAGGAAAGCATTGATAATGCTTTCCTATGTGACCGCTGAATCGCGCCGAGCTCTTCCACGCTGCAAGCATTCAGCCGACGAGGCAGATCGGAGGAGGAGAGGAGAGGCCTGGAAAAGGTAAGTTTTAACCCCTTCCCTTCCAGAGCCGGGCGGGAAGGGGACCCTGAGGGTGGGGGCAACCCTCAGGGCACTATAGTGCCAGGAAAACGAGTATGTTTTCCTGGCACTATAGTGGTCCTTTAACCTGTCAAGCACTTTTTGGTTTTGAACTTTAAGTGTCCTGTGCTTCATATTATGCCTGAAAATTCCATTTGGTACCTTTGAATTGCTTCATATGTGATCTAAACAAAATAAATAATTTAAAAAAGGGGAAATTAAGCATTGGCTTTAAGAACTACCTTATCGTAGTCACCTGACAAGGAATACATTAACATTTGCTTTATTCCCTCTGGCTATCTCTGCCTGATCTGTTCTCCACATGTTCAGTCTGAATCCTGTAGGCTATTAAGCACAGCAACTCAATATTGCCTGAAAACTGTGCTTGAGCATTAGAGCTTAAACTGGGATGAGCTCTCAAACTCTGATTTACTGTTTAGCCAATTTGCTTGACTATGTTTCTAACTTGTCATGATTATGCCATGACCTCCTCCGAGTTGTAAAATGGAATAAAATTTTGTGAAAAATTTAAAAGAAAAGAGAAACAAAATAAACTTGCATTACCACTTTTATGTTTCTATCGATTGTTGTGTGATCTTCAACTTTGGAAAACTGCAAATGGGAGTCCTAAAAATCATCATTATCATGGTTTTCATGGACATTGCCTATTCCTTGACTATTCTCTCACTATCAACGTTAAACCTGGCCATTCTAAGGTCCAGTAATACGTTTTCTTATTTTAGGGTTACATTCTGCGAGGTGTGGTCACTTTGTCATGACAATAAGGAGTGAAGATCGTGGTTCTCATACATATTATAGATTTATAATACATACTGCTAAATAGTAACTGTAAAGTTTGTAGTATGTAGTCAATATTTATAATTTTTTACCAAATTTAGTAAGGATTAGATTCATATTTCTAAATCTGGTCAGTTTTCTTCTATTCCTCTACTGCAAAACAGGAAGGAGCTACCCACAGTGTTACTGTAGGATAAAAAGTGACATGGTGTAATTCAGTACGTAAAGCTTTTGACCTTTTGTTACTGCTAACTACTGCAATCTCAATGTGCCTTGTGATATAAATGTCACGAAAACAAAAAACAATCCCAAAAAAGTCTATAAATGCCAAGGCGAACAATTATTGTATTTAATACGTGGTTAAAATAGTTACAATATAAGACAAACCTTATTGTATAATTTACAGAAATATAAAATATATATCGGAAAATATTAATAACATTTTATGCGCAGTAGAGAAGTTGTGAAGGGCACTCAGAAAAGCACCAACAATTTTGAATTACAGAATGAATTAATCATTAGTATACAAATCATGAAATCTAGAGAAACTGATGGATTTTATATTAGTGGTAGTCGGGCCGTGCCAAAGGGTTTATTGGCCCACTTTTCCACGGTGTCTCCAGCTGTATAGCTTTGTTAAATAAAGCAGGAAAATAAAAATCCAGAAAGAAATGAGGACTAATTTTCAGTTTTAAAAAGTAAATACTGGGTTTGACCTGAGATCTCCTTACTTTAAGAATTACAATGCCTCAGCTGAATATAATGTGGCTTCATTATTTTGCCCCAGCGGTAACATTTTGCTCCAATTCTATGTTTTATTACCCCTTATCCAAACTTTAGCAGCACTCATAGGAGGTTGAAGGCTTTTGCGTATGGACTTGTACTTGGCAACCAGACTCTAAAGATCATGGATTTAGTTTGTGCACCACCAGCTGTTGGTTGAAGATTCCTTATCATAGTTATGTATGTTGTGAGAATGATTTGCATATATTTGCATATCATGGCAAATGCAGACAGAATGCTCTCCTTTATTGTATTGTACCATTTCCTACAAGTGCCATTTGCAGTTATATTTTATATTAGGTTTTGAGTGTGTCACCATATACAGGGTAGTTGAAGGCTAGCTCTGGTGTCAAAATATTTCCTGCCCACCTGAAACATTTGTGTGAATGCTGTAATTTGTGAAGTGGGTTGGTGTACGTCAGGGACTCCTGATTTGTTTGCATTACTTGGGCACCTAAAAAGGTTTTTTTGTAAAAATTTTGTAATTAGCAGGAAGAGGGTTTGATATCTTCCTGGGAGAAGGAGCGGTTAAGGAAGAGAAGAGATGGACGGTGTAGAGGGACAGGTATGGATCCCATGTTTGGCCCCAGTCATCACTGTTCTTTTCATATTGGATTATTTCACGTCCTTCTTAATATTGACTGCATTGATGTTATCAAACTCCAGCGGATGGTTGTGTAGAGGAGCAAAGAAAATTTCACTTTGTTAAAAAAATAATTAAAACATTTAAAAATAACACAAATAATAAATGAAATAGCCTCAGTAATAGGACATAGTGCAACATTAAAAGATTAAGCACGGACAAGGATTTTCTAATCTGAGCTGTTAAGTCATGCTGGTATCATGCAGATTCCAAATATGTTCAGAACTGTGCATAAACCATGCTATGTAGTAGTTATGTTTCTGAACATGTAGACTACATGGCTATTTGTGATGTCCCACAGTCACGCATTGTAGAGTCAATCAATGATTGCTTCAATCACTCTCACTTTGGTGTACTCAGTAAATAAATGCTGCCATAGAAACTAAGAGAACACAATTCCTTTTACTGCCCACTGCTCTAGGAGGTAATAACGTTGCATAGACAAAGCCAGCTGGAGAAAGTTGTGAAGTATTTAGAACATCTCGGCTTTCTTATGAACACTCAGTGTGAATAGTGCATTAAAGTCATGCAGACACGTCTTTATTCGGCTTATTTTCACATGAAAATCAGAGAGGTGTACCTGTGAATTAAAGGCGTTGCACGTTCACAGAACCTAGATACTGTTTGTGAATTAAAAAAGGGAAACAGAGGAGAATTGTGTGAAAATAGATATCACTATTTGGGTCCCAGAAAAGATACTGTCCGACAAGCTTTTTTTTTTTTTTTTGTGGACAAACATTCTCAAAGCAAGATTCTGTACAACATAATTCTGTTCTTTATAACAGGCCTTTCAGCCCTCAAAATGTAATAGTACCCCACAGGTGTAAAGGCAGTGGTAGATCCAGCTGTGTATCTCAAAAGGGGCAATTTGGTTATTGATGGTAATGCAATGCCTACCTGTGGGGTCTTGTCAGGCAGCCATTGCACCTGCTGCTTGCATGGTCCTTTATCTCAAGGGAAATGTGTCCTAAGACTCCTAAGTCGGCTGTAGCACACAAGGATATTACAAATAGTTCTGCTCATTTCTTTACCACTACCCAAGGAATACGTACTATAGATCAGTTCTCTGTAAATGAGGACATATGCAAAGTATGGGCTTATATATTTTCCCTTACTCCCTCTAGTATGAGCAGGGCCCTCACCCCCCTCTGTTCTTTGTGTGTCCAACTCTTCTAGTTATAAATACTTGTCTGTATGGTCCACCCATTGTACAGCGCTGCCAAATTTGTTAGCGCTTTATATATATATATATATATATATATATATAATAAAATAGTATTATTAAAGGACAAAATATGATGATGGTGCCATTGTTCACATTGTAAGCATGACAGACTGATTGAGTGAAATGTTTTGCTCAGAGGAGCTTGCAATCTAAAAGCTGATGAACAGAATATGTGCTGTTATTTATACTTTGATCTAACTATCCATCTATGGTGGACCAAGGCTACAAAATTAAGACTCCAGATCTAAGTCATTTGGTAGCTATTCAAGGGAGCAATACATAACAAGAGGGTGCACCATAAATGAATGGACAATAGGACAAAAGGAGGCTATTTGTACATGTAATAACAAGGGCCGGTGCAAGGATTTCTGCCGTCCTGGGCAAATATTAATTTTGCTGCCCCCTCTTGAGTTCCATTGCGTCATAAGTGTATTCACTAAACACCAAAAGGAACCATTCCACTGATTTTTAATTTTTTTTTATTAGATATACCCCAAAGAAAATATGCTTTTTTAGCCTGCACATCATTATGCAAGCCCTCAGTCTTTAACAGAAAATACTC